AGGAGGGGAGGTACAATAAGATATTTTGGAAATTCTAAATTTTGTTGAGGTTTATTCTAGTAATTCTGGGACAAACATTTGACGTTATTCTTATTAAAAACAAGCCGAAGCGAGGGCCGAAGACCTGAGGAAATTTATAAATTTAGAGTCTCTGAAATGCCATTTCCTGGACTTTGGGGAAGATTTGACAGAATTCTGATGGTCAGAAAACAGCGTTTTAGTATGTCGAAATTTACAATTTAGTGGTACTAAATGATATAAAGATTACAAAAATGGCGATATAAAAATTACAAAAATCATTATTGTGTTAAATGATGAGTGAAAATGAGATGCAATTCTAAAGAACATTCTCGTTTACTGATGTTTTTTGTGTGTGTTTTGACTTTGTTAAGATTATGCAACGTGCCAAAATATAGGGGGGCTCAGCACGCTGGTCATATTCAGCAAATTTTCTCCCAGGACCGCAGGCTGATATTGTCAGTGGACTTGCGGTGTAAAATTGAAACTTTTGCATTTTTCAAAGAACTGGCAACTTTCTGTAAGATGTCCGCTGTCAATACGAACCCGCACAAGTGGGAGAAATTTTGCTAAATTTGACCAACGTGTAGCCCCCCCCCCCCACGTCCACATGAAATTTCAACAAGAGGGCCTCAGCCCCCCTGAGCCCTCCCTCCAGTACACCACTTGGCCAAGTGGTGTATCTTCTAAGCAAGGAATTTTTTTTTGCACTATACCTGGAAAAATTTTTTTTCTGGAAAACCTCCATCACTTTTCTAATGGTCCGTCCCTTACAATCTCATTTTGAGGCCCAGGAAAGATTTTCGTGACAACATTCAAGGTCATTTTTGATATTCAAATGTGACTTTGGCACGCTTTAATAATTCACAAGTTACAACATAAAATTGACTTAACAGTGAGTAAAGGTTTGTAGAACATACCTATCCAAGACACGATGTGTGGTAGAGATCTTTTCCAGCAATAAATGTGCCATAAATCCATGGAAAGTTTCATGCGAAAATACAAAATTAAAGAAAAACGTCGTGGGATATATATTTTTAGGCATAGATATGCCAAGTTATCCCATGGTTAACTGAAAGAAACATATGTAATCCATAGATGCACATACTGAGAAAAACATATGTTATCCATAGAAATCCATAGATGCACATAATTTTTGAGCCTACGATGCGCTGATGAAAACTCCATTTCTCGACGACGAAAACGACAAACACGACAGAAAACTGGTGATTTATGACACTTGCCCTTCGGGAAGTGTAATAAGTGCATAAAATTAACAATTGAATTGAATTAAATTGGATTGAATTTATTACAAAATCTGAATGGCAGCTAAGAGCTGAATGGTACAGAGTTGACACTTTAAAATACATGGTAAAACTAATACATATAGTAATATACGGTATATTAAAACTAAAATTTATATTACAATTAAAATGAATCATTATATGATACGATACTAGAAGGAATAAAACTTTTACTAAATCTTGTAGTCTTACAATTAATTAAGTTAATATGCTGATCGTTACGTAGATTGTAAGTACGTAAGTCCTCGCGTTTATTAGCCGATCTATAAGTTCATTCAATTTATTTTCCGGGTTGAGAAGTTTCTTAAAATAGGATTTACATAAATTATTTCGTCTTTGAGAGAGCAACGATATTTCATGAACTTCCAAGGCTTTGCGGTATGACAGGTCAGGACATATTATTCGTAGGGCTCGCTTCTGAATTCTTTCGATTTCTTCCTTTAAATAGTCAGGGGAGTTTAAGTTCCAAACCTGGCATGCATATTCAAGCACAGGTCGTATACATGTGGTATAGACTTGAATTAGAGAACTCCCTCCAAGACCGCTGCGTTTAAGCACTCGGAGAAAAAAAGTCTCTTTGATGCCTTGTATACTATGTGTTCAACATGTAAGTTCCAACTAAGATCAGAAGAAAAGTACAGACCAAGAACCTTTGCTGATAAAACTGGGGACATACAGTGATCTTTAATAAACAATGGTCGAAGATTAGGGACGTCCTTAGCGAACGAGATAATTAGCTCTTTGCATTTAGAACGATTAAGCATCATATCATTTTCCGTGCACCATTGATCGATATTATTAATAACGGATTGCAGGTTACTTTGACAACCTTTACCGATTGTTTCGGAGAGACTAGTGTCATCAACATATTTCCATCTATCTTTGTGGTTAATAGCCAAATCGTTGACCATGATGAGGAAGAGTAATGGGCCAAGGATTGTACCTTGCGGGACGCCTCCATTTACCAAGGACCAATCAGAGAACGAAGAACCCAATTTCACCCTCTGTCTTCTTTGCATCAGGAAATCAATAACCCAGTTTATTAAGGATTTATCAATATTTAGTAATTGCATCTTTTTTATCAGGATTTTGTGGTTGATTCTGTCGAATGCTTTACTAAAGTCAAGCAGAAAAACACGAACAGTCTCGCCATTGCCGTCTGTGTTAGAATACCAACAGTGGAACATGCTAATTAATGCGTCTATCGTAGAAGAGCCTTTTAACGATCCGAATTGCTTTGGGTCCAACTGAGACTTAATGGTATCCATAATCCATTGAAATGGAAATGATTCAAGAACCTTTGAGAGCGTGGCGGTCAGAGATATAGGTCGCAGGTCTGAAGATATATCCGTGACCGAGGATGTCTTAGGGACGGGAACGACATTTGCTTCTTTCCACTGCATTGGAACTTGTGCTTGTTTAATGGAGGCATTAAAAATCATTGTCACAGGTTCTGAAATCTCCATTGAAAAGTTATTGAGAATCCAATTTGGCAGAGAGTCTGGACCAGGAGCTTTATTCGATTTAACTGCTTTTAAACGCGATTCGACATCAACAACGGAGATAGGGTACAAAACAGTAGGTTCTTCCACAGATAATTTATCAGTAATTGAAAGCGGCGGTAACGATTTAGTGGCGGCTAAAAACCCGTTATTAACAGCGAGTGCTAAGTCTCGTCCCTGCAAGATAGTTCCATTCACCTCTGCAGAATGGAAGGCAGGCTTTAAAGAAAAGCCAGCTAGGTTTTTAATAGCACTCCACCATTTCCTTGGCTTTGAATTTTTTAGATGATTCACTTGAGACTCGAAGTATTTAGACTTTGCCTGTTTCACGACGTGAATTACTTTATTTCGCAATTTGTTGTATTCAATTGTATTTCCCAAGGCAAAGGCCTTTTGTCGTTGGGAGATGAGGAGTTTGATTTCAGGGGTAATCCACGCTTTGTCTCTACAGTGAAGTTTAACAGATTTTTGGGGAAAAATTGTATCCAAACCCATGAGAATAATGTCATAAAACAGGTCACACATTTTTTGACAATCGGGTAGCTGCGAAAGTACATTCCAGTTAAGATCCAAAAGAAATCGACCAAATGCCTGCATATTTGATTGCTTCCGCTTTCTGACCCAGACTTTGGTAATGGTATTAGGGCGGTGATCGTTACTAACGGGGTGTAACAGGACTGACATGTGATCCGATTGTCCAATAGCAGGGAGTATTTCAGGGTCATTGTAACAACGTTTCATATTAGTAAATATTAAATCTAAAGTTGCATTCCCACGGGTAGGTTTCTTTACAATTTGTTTAAGTGACGTGTTTCTGCAAAGGCGTTTGGAGTCGAACTGGTTAAAATCACCCATAACAATTACACCTGCTGTTGGGTAAGATGCTAAAATTTTGTCCAACGAGGTTATGAGGTGGTCATACAGTTCGTTATTATCGGCCTGTGGTGGATGGTATACAAGACCAACAACTATGCAGGAATATTCTCGTGGAAGTCGATAGGGTCGAAGTTTTAACCACAGACTCTCGTGATCTGGACAACATAAGTCAGGAAGAGGCACGAATGGGATATTTGATTTTACGAATGCACAAACTCCACCCCCGCGTTGACCAGAGCGGTCTTTTCTAACCAGGTTAAAATCATGGATATTTATACAGCTATCCGGGATGCTAGGATTCAACCATGTCTCTGTAATTCCCGCAAAATCTATGCCATTTCTTTGGACGACTACATCAAAATCATCTACTTTATTGGATATGGATCGTACATTGGAAAGAAAAAATTTGGGAAGGGTAGACACCAGGCCTTGAGATGGTAAGATTTCTATATCTGAGCTAGACATTGTCATGGAATTGCTGACTTGAGTATCTATTAAATTAGGTAGCGGCGCTGCTTGTAATGGGTTTTCTAATGTAACGTTGATCAGGTTATGCGGATTACTTCTCAGTTTAGCACCAGTAATCTGTTCACGGATTCGACCAGATACCACCTTGATCGGGTAGATGGTCGGAGAACTTCCGGTTAGAAAAACTGTGTCAGTTTTTGTCGACCATGCATATAGGGCGTTGTCATTTGATGGACAAAGTCTAAGTACGTTTCCCATTCTGAACTTTGTGTTAGTCTCCCGGATCGTAGTGGGGGATGGTAATTGGTCTGGCACCATCGAAAATGGGGCGTAATTGGATTATTGCGATGGATAACTGGTCGCTTAAAGTTCTGGCCTTTACGTATACACCGGTTGTTGTACTTATTCTTATGAAATTGTTGATGCGGTGCTTCTGGATTATATGGTGCTTCCGGATTAGGTGCTTCAATCAAAGGGAGGTGACCAAGCCATTCTCGTTCATCAGTCATTATAATGGTGTTATTTACTCAGGTAGCTGGCACGTTATTCGTAATGTTATGCTTATCCACTTCAGATACACATTCATCAGCTATTATAATGGTACTACTGTAATAGTAGTTGGTAAATTATTCGTAATGTTATAGCTGTTCCGCTTCAGATACGCGTTCATCAGCAATTTCAATTGAGACCATAGAGACAGGTGCTTCAATCAAAGGGAGGTGATCAAGCCATTCTCGTTCATCAGTCATTATAATGGTGTTATTTACTCAGGTAGCTGGCACGTTATTCGTAATGTTATACTTATCCACTTCAGATACACATTCATCAGCTATTATAATGGTACTACTGTAATAGTAGTTGGTAAATTATTCGTAATGTTATGCTGTTCCGCTTCAGATACGCGTTCATCAGCAATTTCAATTGAGACCATAGAGACTTCATGCACGGGTGCCTTATCATTTAGGCAACGATTACCATATTTTTGCATTTGTTTTTGTTTGATCCCTTGATTAATGAGATCTAGACTTTGGTGATCGCATTGTTCACTGTTCCAATTACCCATATCATTACAATGGTTTGATGACTTTAGCATTTTTAAGCCAACAATTTCATGTTTAAGGGCCACATTTGACGCTTCAATTAGTTCACTCTTTTTGTTCAGAGTGTCAATAATATTATTTAATTCATTTACCTCGAAATTTCGTCCTCTGACTAAGATAGCAATGTCTGCTTCTAAACGCTGAATCTTGTCATTTTTAAGACACTCTGTGGGAATATCTTCCCCATTCTGTGTGGATTCAGTAAACGCGGTTGTGGATTCAGTAAACGCGCTAATTGTTAATTTTTTAGCGGCAAGCTTGTGACGTCATTTTCCCGCCAAAAATGTTTCAATTCGGAAAACAAAAACATACGATTTGTAAGAATGACATGTTCTATGTTTATGGGAAATTTTGTAGAAACAGGATATGAAAATTAAAGAAATTGAAGCACGTTGGCGCTTTGGCATGCATTTCAGTTTGTCAGGCGTGTCAAGTCAAATGTCAAGAATTAAGAATTGAATATTAAAGCGAACAGAAAACATTAAGCATATTATATACTTTATATGTATTTACTCTGGCGTTGCAAGAGATTTTAGTATCATCCTTTTCTTTTCCAAGTCACTCCTTTTTCGATGATATCGTTTAATATCCTTCTTTTCCTCCTTTTTTGTCCTGTTGAAGAGGCAGAGGAACGCTTTGTTTAAAACGGAAGATTATTATTTGCAGGAGCTAGGTCAGTCATGTTTCATCTGCTGTCACCTCATGTATTAAGGTATTGTCAGGAGACCTTATGTGTACAACGTGGTTTACAGTTATAGTAGAAATGTAGCCAATTACTAATTACGTGGAAACGAAGAAAGCCGAGAAGCCTGCAAGGGTGGGTAGTAGCGAAGCAGTTGTAGTTCGCTACTGTAGCGAACTACAATTTTCATGTAGCCAGTAGTTTTTTACTACTTTTTCAAAACAGTAGCTGTTGCTATAGCGAACTACATTTTGCCTAAAAGTAGCCAAGTAGTTGACTACTTTTCAAACAGAAAATCGCTATTCGCTACTTTTTAAAATTGTTAGCAACTGGATAGAATAGCATGATATTGAGACACGGTTTGCTGAAAATAAATACTCAATTTGCATGAATAAAATATGCCGTGCAAGTGCATGCCATCTTATTTACTCGTAAGTCGATTTGTTATATCGGTTACATTGCAGCCTGAGCTAGTAGATGCTCCAAATACAGTAAAATAGCGAAATAATTCGCTACATTTTTTAAGCAGTAGCTGTAGTCAGTAGCGAACTACTGTTGTTCAAAAGTAGCAGTAGTTGTAGCTCACTACATATTTTTGAAGTAGCTGTAGTTATAGCGAACTACAAAAAGTTTGTAGTCAACCCACCCTTGGAAGCCTGTATGGCAACGTGGATGGTTCAAACACAATTATCAAACGCTTCTGCATATACAGTACAAACGTTTTCTGCAATACCAGTGTAGTGGTTGATTTATTTTATATGCGGATTACTTGTCCCACGTTGAATATAGTGCACCTTCCAAGTTACTCTCCTCTTAGTCTAATGTAAAGTCTAACACAGAAAAGTTCTGGACATTATACATATAGTACATGATACTGAAAAGTTCAAGACATACCTATATTGTATCGATTTCTTTAAACTGGAAGCCCATTGATTTAGCTCTTTATCGTTACACGTCAATATCTTTATATTAAGAACAAAAAGCATTTTATAAGAACGTACTGTATTTTCAACCGCGAAACAGTGTTAGGGAACTTAACTCGCAATTATTGCATTTCGTTGACGAAAATGCAGAAGTGTGTTCATTCTAACAAAACTCACCACATTGTTTCAAGTATGAAAGTGTATGATACAATAAGATGAGACGGATAAGAGGGTACTTTTCAGAGTACTGTATATTTCCTTATATTTTTTCTGACTGTGAAGAAATACTTTTGATGTGTGTGATAGTTGTTGCGGCCTTATGAGATTGTTATTTTAGAGTAGAAATCACATGGTTATCGCGAAGTCGAAGCTAGAGACAAAAAAGTTACTGAAATTGCTTGTTATGTTATATTATGTGTGGATTAGAAATGTATATATTTATGTATTTGGTCCGTCCTGCGAACGTGGGTAGATTTAAAGGGGCTATTCTGAGCAATTCTGACCATCGCAAATTTTGCACAAATCTGAAAAGGAATGGCTGTTAAGCTCAAAATAAATCATCTCAAAGTCCATCAACTATTCGTCGAGTAGTTTTTGTTTTATTTACCCACACTTTACAAAATTTATCGAATATTTTTAAAACGTTTCATTGTAATGATAAGAAATCATAAGGGCAAAATACAATTAGGTTTCAGGGCCATTAGGGAGAACAGATGTAAGTACTGATAGTTAAGTACTGAAAGCTTATTATTTTTGTGATCCTCTTTCAAACTGTGACGAAATTTTTGTCTAGACTTTTTGTCTAGAATATTGAATATATTCCCCTCAAAGAACAAAGGAAACCGAGCAGGGTGAAAAATAATGTTTTCTATTTTATTCGATCTGGACATGACACAACATGACTAAAGGAATACCGAATGGTTTTCCGTGCAGGATTGCGTGATCCGTGCACGAGGGATGTTGCGAGACTTTCGGAAAGCGTAAAAATACACGAGCCGTAGGCGAGTGTATTTTTACGCTTTCCGAAAGTCAAGCAACATCCCAAGTGCATGGATCATGCTATCCTGCACGGGAAAACCATTTGGTAATTGTTTTATCAAATTACTACAGTGAAACGACGCTTAACTTGATTAAAATTACTGATGAAATGTGCAGTTCTCACAACATTCGTGAATTAACCAGACGAGCACCGACAAAACAGTATGCAAAGTTAGAGGGATCACCCTCAACTACAGAACTGCACAAAAGGTTAATTTAAATTTAATGTGTGATATGGTTTGTTTAGAAGCGTTGTCTGATCTCACAGATAGCATAACTGTAAATATACAATACAAAATAAATAGAGACACTAAAGAGAAAAGTGTAAAGACGAGGAGTGAGAACAAGGACTATCGTATTGTATATAATAAACGTGTGATTGTAAATAATTTTGATACATTGCCTTATGGTTTTTAAATTAATAAATGATTTCAAACATAAAAGTTATGTGTGTAATTGTACAGCTGCGGGGACTTTTGGGAATTTTTTCCCTAGAGGAACATTCGTCTATATTAGAGACTAATATTGGTAATTATGTTTCCATGGGGACATTTGTCTGTGCCGGGGACATACGGGGACAAAAATTAGTCCCCAAAGGGACTAAAGGGACAATCGGCTATAATAGGGACTAATGTTGGTAATTATGTCCCCATGGTGACATTCTTCTGTGCCGGGGACATCCGGGGACAAAAATTAGTCCCCAAAGGGACTATTTAGGTAATGGACAATCGGCTATAATAGGCATAAATGTTGGTAATTATGTCCCCATGGGGACATTCGTCTATACTGGGGACATTTGGGGACAAAAATTAGTCCCCGGAAGGACTTTCTTAAGGGACAATCGGCTATAATAGGGACTAATGTTGGTAATTATGTCCCCATGGTGACATTCTTCTGTGCCGGGGACATCCGGGGACAAAAATTAGTCCCCAAAGGGACTATTTAGGTAATGGTATGCTCGGAAACATTCATTTGATAGCATGCCTCGAACGCGTAAGGTTTGTCCCATGTGTGGAAAGAAAGGTTTATTAAAATTATCTAATCATTTAACCAATGTTCATAAACTATCCACTCAAGAGAGACAACCATATCTTATTCGTGCTAAGAAAATGCCTATTGATAGGGCAACGGTATTGATCGAGTTGCAAAAGATAAATAGACTGATCGAAAAGTATCTGCTTTCATTTTCATCATGTACTCCATACAGTTAAGACACCCATTTGGGCTTCTCGTTTCTGGCGGTACAAAATCAGGCAAAACCACCTTTGTGAAAAGGCTTCTCAGCTATGCCAATGTGCTGATTGATCCAACGCCTGAAAACATTATTTACTTCTATGCCGAATATCAGGACGCGTTTGGAGAAATACAAAATTTAGTGCCTGGTATAAAATTCATACAAGGCTTGCCGGATAATATAATGGACAGTATCAATCCAGAAACACGAAATTTGTTCATCATTGACGATATGATGGGTGAGAAGGACGGAGTGATTTCTAAATTGTTCACGAGAAAATCGCACCATGGTAATCTAAGCGTAACCTACATTGTGCAAAACTTGTTTCACCAGAGCAAAGAGCATCGCACAATATCTCTTAATGCAAGTTGTTTATGTTTAACGAAAAATGTTCGCGATGCAAGTCAAATTACTCATCTCGCCAAACAGCTATACCCGAGTCAAACGAAGTTTTTCCAACAAGCTTATCAATTGGCAACGAAAGAACCTTATTCTTATCTATTTGTCGACTTAACTCCTACATGTCCTGACGAGATACGGATTCGATCCGGGATCTTTCCAACCGACACGCATTATGTCTATCAACCCAGAGTATAAAAATGTGGGAACGTGTGTAAAATGTTCATTTGATCATGTCTGCGTGTATGAAGAGGAACTCCGAATATCTGAAAGTATTAGCCAAGTGCAAACCCGAACTGAGAAAAGCTATTTTGAAAGCGGCTGAAGACGATTTATTCGAAGCGATAAGACAGTGTCTATTAAACGTTTGGTTTGAAACAGTTAAACTGAAACCGAAAACAGCTAAAAAACTTGCACCGCATTCCAAGCATATAAAGTTTGCGGCTGACAAAATAAATCCTATCGTAAAAAGAAGAACACGTCTAGTCCAAAAAGGGAAGGGTTTCCTACCGTTTCTACTCACTTCAGTTTTGGAACAGTTGGCTAACTTTTTATAATGGAACACGTCAAGCGACTACTCCTTGTCGCTGAACATATGGTTGAACAGCGAAAGAAACCTCTCGCGGCGCCTCTGGCAACACAGGTCAACGAAATAGACTCGAACATGCAAGATATTATTCGACGACAAGATATACCAATCGATGAAAAGGCAAAGTTATACGACCAGAATCTGCAACGCTATTTAACCTTTTATGATAAACGAATGAATAAACCTCTCCGAGTAAACGTGACGCACATCGATAAAGCTGAAGAACCTCAAGGAAATCAGCCGATTGAAGAGGCGGAACCTTCAGACGAGATTGAAACAGATGTCATGGATAGTGTACCAGCTACTATGAAGTCAAGAGCTCGACAACTCATCAAAAAACTCAAGTCAAATAAGGATCTTATTGGTTGGAATGAACAAGGCCAGATGGTGTTCAAAGGAAGATCGGTTCCTAGCACAAATATAGTTGATTTGGTGATTGTACGTCAAAGGAAGAATTTCAACCCCGACGGCTGGGAATTGTTTTCAAAAGTTCTCGGACATATGAATGTACCCGAAGGTATTGTGAGAAACAAAAACCATCTTGGAATTGTTCGCGAATATAAACCAAAGGTATCCCGGAAAATCTACCCACCACCCCTCAAGAAACCCGGTCACCAGTATCCCATATGCGTGAGGAAAAAAGAAAGAAACGCAGAGACAATATTAGTAGCCCATATAAATGGTTTTAAAATAATTTATTTCTTGTAAGAGAAAATTTTACAATAAATGTAATTAAAACTAGATCTAGGGTTTGTACCACTTGTCTATAAAATCACGCACAAGCTCATCATTCCATTCTTTGCTATTCGTAAACATATTTGCAATGGTTGACATTGGAATACGTCTACATCGATGTAAAGCAAAGAATAATGTATATTGTCCGCACACGTCTGATGAAGGGGCTTGCAAAATTCTTCTGTTCCATGTAAATGTACCGCAATGTTTGTCCAAAAATTGAGTAAAGTTCTGATTGTAAAATCCAGGAGCCTGGCCATACGAATCCCAAAATTGCCCTTTGCCATCTTCTGTAAGGTACATTGCAATCCAGTGTGATCCGGGCATATCGGATGCATCCGTGTTAAGTATATACCCTCTAGCATTAAGTATATACCTTATTTCGCGAGGTAAACGATCTGACGGTAAAACGTTCGTAAACACCGTTTTTATAAATGGATCATTCTTGAGAATGTTCATAATCTGCAGTGAGTTCATCTTCAGTTGTTGAAATCACACAGCACGTTCCGGTTCGCATCAATTTCGATAAGACTTTGAAATTCGCCAAGTACCACGATATTTATAGCCGTTTCCAATGGTGTTCCAAATCGGCATTCAATTGATACATTTCCGTTTTTAATCGGTTGTACATGATCACCAATGCATAGGTCAGGAGTAAGGTCAAACACAAACAGTGTATAACCGTTTGCATATTCTTCACATGTTATACCATTACCCTGATTATCAAAAATCTTGTGTGTGCCGGCGTACAGGGTTTGAAAAGCAGAAATGTAATATTACTGTTTGCTCCAAATTTCAACTGTAGTGGTTTTCCAGGTAAGTTCTCTCCGTTGACAGTGAGACCCATGGTTGTGATATCGTAATTTTTAAAATTGAACGGATTCTTCGTATATGTACCGTTAAAGGCATCCGCGTCGACCATTCCAATCACGATACGATTTGGTAAACCACCTTGAAATATATTAGGTTGATTTCCAGACATATTCCCCCGAGGTACGGAGACAACCTTGCAGTCGATCCTGTTGATTGGGTATTTGGCAGTGATTTGTTGAAGGGACTGGGAATGAGCCAGTATAATACTAGGGGCTACGTTAACTCGTCGTACACGAAACAAACATTCATCGAGGACCACTTTGAAATTGGGATTTTCTGCGGATGATACCAAACAAAACTGATCTCTAGATCTCACCAGCTTGATCTTGATTGGAACAGCACCAAGAATATAACGGTCTTGCGCGAATATATCAGAATGAAGTCTTCCTTCCCTGGCGACAGATTTGCTTTCACGTGTATATGCATGGCGTTGTTTTAATCCCGTGTTAACGTTGGCATCTTGTGCGAGAGGGTTTACTACATCCATCTTTCCAGCTTTATCTTTATAGAACAGCGCTGAGGTCAAATGTGAATCTTTGGCGTCTTTACTAAAGTTCAGGATCGTTTCGATATACGCTCGGTAAGGGTATGCTGTGCTTGATGGGGTGACCAGTTTGCTGTTCAGAAATACTTCAACTTGTGAGAATAATGCATGCATCCAAAGGTTTGAAGGTCCAACTTGAATGTCGGCATCCGCATTTCCTCCAGCCGCAGTAGTGATCTTTGCTTTAACGTATAGGTAACTGCTTGCTAAGTCGGTATAAACTCCAGAATTTGCAGCACATAAAAATTCTATCGTATCTGAAGAAGACATGCTCGTAATAGGATCAACATCTTCCCAATATCCTTTTTCCATTACCACTTGAGTCGGTGGAATAGAAAATAAATCGAGTTCAGATTTTGCACACATGCAGGAGTCTTTATGGATTGTTTCAAGAGCCATGCCACTTTGGTCTATAGTTATCGAGAGATGTTTTCTGCTTCTTTGTTGGACCGCGTATGGGAGTTTTAGCTGGCGCAGCTCTTTTTATACCCTTTTTGCGACCCTTTCCGGTCATTACTTTCTTGGCAGCATTTTTTGCAACATCAGATGCTGCTTGTTTTCCTCGTGATTTAAAAGCTTCTTTACATTTTTTCCTTGGAGTACATCTTGACCGACTTCTGTAGCTGTTTGCAATGCTCTTTTGCCAGCAACTTTAGCACCTTGTTTGAACAGAGGGATAGCATATTTCGCAACGCTCTTGAAAATGCTTCCCATCCGATATCCTCTTTGAAAACGTGAACCACGAAACCCAGAGATGTTCCCGCCACGTTGTTGTCTCAAGAAATGGTCTTTCAACAGTTTAGCATCCACAACTAGTCTTCCGCGCATTTTTAAAGTACTGAGACCTCTTCTGTCTAAAGTGAAGTGTTGCGATTGACTTCCCGAACTCAAATGAGACGTTTTCGTTTTGGTCATTCTTTATATTCACTTCAATGGTCTCAAAATAATTTACTTTGACCGGTACGTATTGCAAATTACGAAAACTGGTGTGAACGGTGTTTCCATATTCCCGTTCGATATTAACGATTCGTAGTAAAGGCACTTTCACATCGCCCACAAACTGTGCATCAACGATATCCGTGTAAACATACATGGAGGAGAATCCACCATTGATATCTGCAGCATAGGGACTCGAAGTTTTCTTTCAATAAGACTGTCCTGGTCAAATCCCAAGACCGTTGCTAATTCTGCGGTAAACCACATAGTCGTGCCGTGTTTTACATCAATCAAAACCTTGCGAGAACTCCGATTATAACTAAACTTTACTTTCGTCTGTGTTTCTTTCGACATGCCGGCATTGAGTGCTTTTGTTAGTTGGTCAATAAAAGAATATTGTGTTTCTTTAAGCACGACAGTTTGATAAGGGTTACTGCCAATTTTATACAAGAACGTTTGTTGCACTCCACGTCTTGGCGTGCTCCACGTATGTGGGTAATGCATTTCCGTCAATGCGACTTCCCGTTGTCCTGGCAAGTCAACGGTTTCGGCCAATTTTACTCTAAAATTCGCTACCGTATTATTTGGAAAATAGGCTAACAAACTATTACTCGGAAGCGTGAGATAAAACTGTGTTGCCATATTGAAGACCAACACACAAATGAACACAAGTTATGAGTTTCAAATACATTTATTTAATATCTTTCACACTCTCTGCTGGTACCCAAGAATTGAATTTATCAGGGTAGCCCCGCCATTTTACAAAATACTCTTTACGTTTATTACGCATACGTGATCTAAGTACTTCTTCGACTCTATAAAAATCACTGTCTGTTTTATTCACTCTCTGAAGCTCTTGTTCGTAAAATGTTCCTTTCAATTCATCGTCATCAAAATCAGCGATCTTGTACACGGGTGGTCGTCGAAGAACACGTTTGGTTATGGTAAACACTTCTTCGGTCCAATTAGGTAAGTATCCTTTCTTAAATGTGCGCCTTGCTTTGCTGATTCGTACTTGATCACCAATGTTAAACTTAAACCGAACGGGTTTGTCTGACTGTTCTCCATAAAGTTTGTGCTACACAATGCTCTCGTTGTCTTCATTTACATCAACAGGCCTCATTGAATCAGAGATTTTACCAGTTTCTGGATAATCTCCACGTATTTGAGCGTATTCTTCGCTGTAAAGTATTTCCACATTTTCGTCTTGAGCGTACGATTAAACCTTTCGACAATCGACGCCTTGGCCTCGTTTTGCGTCGTGAAAAACCGGATGTTATGTTTCTCCAAAAAGGCTTGAAACTTTCGATTCATAAACTCTGTCCCTTTGTCGCTGTGAAACGTTTCAGGCTTTCGACCCTTTTTAAGTATTTTCTCAAAGGCTTTGACAAGATTTTCTCCAGTCTTTGTTTTTATCGGTTCAGCCTACGCATATTTGCTAAGTACATCGATTACAGTTAAAATGTACTTAAAGCGGTTATTGTATTTGCTTATCGAGTCCATAATCACAAGATCCGCCTCCCATTACTCGTCAATTGCTCCTACAATGACACAGTTCCGTTTGAAACGATATCTTACAGGTTTATGTAAAGTAAACGTGTCTTGCTTTTGTCGCCATAGCCGTATTTTATTCCGCGATATCTGATCGTTTGCCTTCGTCTTTTACGACCCGGTAAATTGAATCTACGCCACCAAAACGTGCGGGACTTTCTGGATTGTAATAGATTTGGCTCAGGTACTTTTCTGCCATCAATGTCTGAGGCTTGAATTACAATTTTCCCTCCACAGCAAGCGGAAATACAACGCACTTTCCGAAAGATATCTCGGAGGGAAATTTCTGGAAGACTTTTACCACAACAGGGCATCTTTTCACCTCAGTGGTTAGAACGAAATGAGCCATGCAGCAATCATAGACTAGCATATAAAGCTATTAGTGCAAGTGAGAGCGTTATTAAAATTGGTGGTTTATTATTCCTCTTCGCTTTTGGGATATGGAAAGTTCGAAAGGCTTCGACAGTTTTTCGGACATGTTCTCGAACGCTTTCCTCGCTGTCACTTAGCATACAAACTGAAGCTAAATAGGCAAAAATGCGACCAAAGTTTGTCATATTTATTTCTCTGTAAACTTGGTCAAGGTTTAGACAGTGAGCACTCACTTCACGATATAGATCTCGATGGTGGTCGAGAATTGCACTTATATGAAACGATAAAGTCTGCTTATCGATATCGATTTCATTTTGTCTCAACTCGTCAAAAATTATATTTATATTATTCATCTCACCAGAGAACCTCTCACCATAAAGGTTAAAACCCAAATGAGAAATGTAAGTGATTTATCTCAAAACATACAGAACACATTCATGATGATAAAACAATTTATTTCGTTTTATTACAGTTATTCATATTTCTTAAGGAATTCTTCATACGCTTCCTTAGCATTAATGTTATTACGTACTAGTGAATGTTTCTCCCGTGTCTTCATTCTTGTATCGATATTCTAGCGGGTCACTGAATAGGACGAAACCAGTCTTGGCCACACGAGGTTCGATCTCTTTCCATTCGAAAACTCCACAGCTGTCTATCTGAGGGCAACAGTAAAACCGGCGGTCCTGGGTGGGTCCTTCTTTTTTCACTTTATGTACGGTGCATACCATCCCGTGCTCGCAGCGTGGTCGAGAGCTTTCGTAAATGTTTCCCCATTGCCAAAAGCTGCAAGGATCATGTCGATCAGAACACGTGAAGATGGGTCTTCCATAATTATCTTTCAATTTATCTTTTACCACACGTAATTTGGCCAATCTCTGATGTGTTGGGCAAATGAGACGATTGGAACCACTATTCTGACAGGCTTCCATTGCTCTCGTAAACAGATAACAATCTTCGTCATGGCAAAAGAACTCACAGCTCGGTGTTTCGCCACAAAACCAAAACGTACCACGAGCAGTTGTGGAACAAGCAGCTGGTTTACCGTGAAAACATTCCATCGTGAGCTTGAATACAGACTATAGTGATGTTACTGTCTTGTGATGCTAATTGATCGCGTTGCCTGCCACAGTTGGTCCAGGCTTGCCCGCGTTAATTGGTCGCGCTACATGTCACATTTGGCCCAGGCTTGCCCGCGTTAATTGGTCGCGCTACCTGGCGTTATAGATTTTGCAAACTCATTATAAATTCCACCAAGAGCGTTAGCTAAACAAAGTGACGTCATAGATTTTGAATACTAATTACTTCTGGAGCAAAGTGACGTCATTGGCGGCATTCCTTTGAACTCCAGAGGGGGGGGGGGCTTTACTACTCTAGTTTATCGACAAAGGCAGTTTAGTTCTGTATTAAAAAGAACACTTTAAAACGTTTTTCGAAGCGTTTGTCGTTGAATTTTACCTTAAACTGAAGCTAGTATTACGTATAATAACATACCTAACATAGTATATGTTTGGGAAATTGATAATTTTGTAATTAAAAGTGATATTTTTAGGGGATTTTTCATTTGTAAAAATATTCTTAAAAAATTATCGTGTTACCATGACAACTACTTTAAATACTTTACGTTCGGAAAATACAATGGTTTTGTCAGCAAGGCGAGTGTTGCTGCATGCATGTATTTTCCGGTAAAGATATATAATTATGTTGTTATGAACTGATCTTAAAAGTATAGATTATTCCGCATTGAAGTAATGACTACAAGATTTAGAAGGACATGTCACAATTCGACGTACATTTATATATTAATGTTCAAACGTTGTTGTACCTGGACAAAATTCCATCGCATTACACGTTGCATGAAACAAATTTGCATGGATATATGAACAGAATCGTCAACTAGTAGTCAGCCGGCCAAGGTGGCAAAAAGTGCCTCTAAAGAGAGTTGATGGCAACTTTATGTTAGAAGTTGGTAACAAGCATTTTCTTATAGTTTAAGCCTTGGTGAACAAGACTGTATGTGTTACCACTTCTGATTTTTGCTTTATAGCCGAAAATTTGAGAATTTTTAAATTTTGCCTATTAAATTACTAATACTATGATGGCAAAAAATGTAAAATATCATTTTCTCTTATACGAAAAATAAGCTATACCACTAGAAAGAGCGCAAAAAACTATATATAAGACAATTAAGCGGCTATGTGATTTTTAAGCCTGTTTTGAATTAAAGATGGTTAAAGTTGGCAAAATGGGTACTTATTAGCCCTAATTTGGTCATTTCTGCATTTTTTAGCATTAAAAACTCGAAATAGGTTTCGAAAAACTAGAAATCGCTTAATTGTCTTCCTTCTATTGGCCAAGTTAAAGCGGTCTTAAAACATCTTAATCCAAGAAAAGCAACTGGCATCGATAAGGTTCCTGCATGGATGCTCAAACAATACCACGAAGACCTAGCTCCTGTGGTTTATGACATTGTGTGCTGTAGTATAAGTCAATGTTGTTATCCATCACTCTACAAACATGCCCTAATTTCCCCTGTTCCTAAAGTGCAACCGCCGAGAGACATTAACAATGATTTCCGCCAGATATCAGTCTTACCCCATCTTGCCAAGATCCTGGAAAAGATCCAGCTCCAGTTAAATATTGAAGACCTGAAAATTAAGAATAACCAGCACGCGTTTACTCAACATCGAAGCACAGTCTCTGCGTTAATATCAACTACCCAAACCTGGTTTAATGCCACTGATTGTTCAAAAACAGGCAAAATGGGGGTTCATGCGGCCTTCATTGACTTTCGTAAGGCCTTCGACCTTGTGGATCACAATATTCTTTTGAACAAATTAGCAGCTATGAACATAAATAAACCCTTCTGGTTATGGATTAAAAGTTTCCTTTCCGGAAGAGTTCAACAAGTAAATCTCAATGGTACCTTATCATCCATTGCAACATGCCCGGCCGGAGTCCCGCAAGGCTCTGTAATATCTCCCATTCTTTTTAATACCTACATTGATGATTTGGAGGACGCCTTACCAGAACAACTAAAAGTCAGTACGAATAAGTATGCAGATGACTGCACACAACACCAAATAGTGAGCGTAGATTCTAATAGTAATTTACAACAATCTATCAATGAAGTAAATAACTGGGCGGTGTTAAATAAAATGGCAATTAATGCTAAAAAAACTAAGGACATGTGGATCTCGTTCACGGACGCTATACCTGAACCACCACGTCTTCGTATTGGAAATGAGTTGATAGAAAGGGTCAACGCTTTTAAATTACTTGGCGTGTCGTTCCAAAATAATCTAAAATGGAACGCACATGTTGAAGAGATTACACGTAAAGCAAATAAACGCCTTTACCATCTTAGAGAATGCAGGAAATCGCAGTTACCAGCTGAAGTCGGTATTATTACCTATCAATCCAAAATAAGACCAATTCTCGAGTATGCATCACCTGTCTGGGCGGGACTCCCTAATTACCTGCGAGATGAAATAGAGCGGGTTCAATCCAGGAGCTTAAGAATCCTTGGCCTGGAAAAAGATTACCTACCACCGTTGAACGAAAGAAGGGAAGAGGCAACTAGTCGAGAAGTTGATAGGTTTATGAACGATCCACACCATCCCTGTCGCAGTGTTTTGCCAAAATTAATTAACAATCAGTACAATTTAAGGAACATTGACCGGAATCGCAATATATCATTCTTCTCAGGAACTGAAAGGCATAAACATTCATTTTCAGGTAGAGCTTGTAAATATGTATAAATAGTTTTCACTTATTAGAAGAACTTATTAGATTAAAGAATTTATTAGTTTTAACTTCTTAGTTAGTTTTCTAAATTATCTTACAACAATTTGTAATATAAAGACATATCCGCAGCATATATACTTTCTTAAACAAGTAATTGTAAGTCCATTGTACTTTTTTATCTTAAGATGGATGAATAAAGCTATTATTATATAGTTTTTTTGCGCTCTTTCTAGTGGTATAGTTTATTTTTTGTATAAGAGAACATGATATTTTACATTTTTTGCCATTATAGTAATTTAAACATATAGTCTTGTTCACCAAGGCTTGAACTATAAGAAAATGCCTGTTACCAGCTTCTAACATAATGTTGCCATCAAGTTGTACAAAATGATGACATGGCCACCCGTCTATAAAGAATAAAAGAATCAGAGGCGCCGGAATATCGATAATTGGAGGGGGGGGGGGCAGATATTCATACATTCGTGTTCTGTCCAATTAATTTCTTTTGAAATCGATTGTTTTTACAGTCTGTGAACACGAATATATGAATATCTGCCCCCGCAATTATCGATATTCCGGCGCCTCTGAAAAGAATGATCGCATAGATACACAAGCGAACTCAAATGTAACTCAATGTCATAACTCGTTCACTCCTTTCAGGCTAAAGCCTTAATTAAAGGCAAAGCGGCGAGTAAGCTATAACTAGTAACGAAATTTGCCTGCGGTTTCGTTTAAGATATACAAAAGTTTGACGCATACATTTCACAATTCTGCAACTCACAATACTGTATATACTGTTGGGAAATATAGTAGGCCTATTTGTAATGTCACTAGACTTAGTTCATATATGCATAACTTAATCATGTGAGCTTTTGCAGTACAGACTGCAAACGTGCTATAACAAACAATTTGAGCCATGCCTCCAAGACTAAGAGTGGCAATTACTCAAGCCCGAAAATTAATTTGTCCAGCTGAATGAAATATGCTTCGCGAAATGTACAAATTTGACAGGCACGCAGCTCGAGTATAGGTTTTCTATATTATACAAATTGTCCTTTGTAGTAATCCCCGAGCCGACGGCACGAAGCGCCGTGCAAGGGTACTAATTCCCCCAGGCTATTTACTCCCGGGGAAACGAAACCATTAGCCAAGTGTACACGACGCTCTTCCGATCTCTGCGAACAGGCTCTCAAGCTGAATTGAGAGCCTGCATCGATGACTAATGAATTTGAATATCTGCGTCTCAAATCGTGACGCGAAATTCTCATTGGTCAGATGCTATAATTTATATGTTTCCGCTGAGCACTATACATATATGTCTACTGCTGAAGCACTATGCATAAAAAAACACATTAACTGATCAAATTGGTCTTGGCCATCTTAACTCAAAGCACGAAATGTTCTGTTTTGAGAAAACAGTATTTAAAACATTTGAACTTTTGCTTGAATATCTTATATTTCGAAAAACAGTGTAAACTGTACGGTCTAAATTTAGTTTGCACGGTCTAAATTTAGTTTGCACGAAAGTTGTAAACAATACCATATAAGGATAGACATTCCATATTTGGAAAAACGAACGTTACGGGGCAGATATTCAAAATTGTATATCATCAGTGCAAGCTCTCAATTCAGCTTGAGAGCCTGTTCGCAGGCTAAGTTCATCAACGAGCGCGGGCGTGGGTTACCGTGAGTGGTTCGGTGGGTGGTCATCCTCACTGATCTCAAAAATATGGCTGACTGTCATTCGACACTACCTGCTCCGTAGTAGCTCGGTTACAGGCGCACTTCACCACACCTAGCGAACGTTTGACACATATTTATTGTATTTAAATGCTGCCCTGTAGTAGACTTGTCTATGTTTGTCTGCACACTAGAGTACATCATAAATTGGACTGAACTTCTGAAACTAATAAAAATGAACTTGTAAAAGAAGGATTCCCTTTAAAAAATTTTATTATATTGCATTTTTTAAATAAAAAAGAAAGCAAAGTTATTTGGCATGCGAGCTGCCTCGTCCCCAGGCGCTAATTAAAATTTTCATGCGAGTCACTATATGAAAGATTTACATGAAGTAGTGCATCGCGATGAACAAGCGCAGGGGGTTATGGGCTTGAGGCATATCCCACTCCCCTTTGCGCGCCTAGAATGTGACGCACTACTTCATGTAAACCTTTCATATAGTGACTAGCATGAAATTTTTTTTATTAGCGCCTGGGGACGAGGCAGGCATGCGAGAATTTGAAATTATTTTATTGCAAACTCAAAGTTTATCGATAAAGCCATTTAATTATTAAAGGCAGTTTAGTTTTATAAAGAACACTCTAATTAAAACGTTTTGCGAAGCGTTTGTGGTTGAATTTTACCTTAAATTGAAGCTTGTATTACGTATAATAACATACCTAACATATATATGTTGGGAAATTGATAATTTTGTGATTAAAAGTGATATTTTTAGGCGATTTTTCATTTGTAAGAATATTCGTAAAAAATTATCGTGTTACCATGACAACAACTTTAGGAAAATACAATGGTTAATGGTTTTGTCAGCAAGGCGAGCGTTTCTGCATGCATGTATTTTCTACTATATATACGTGAATAAAATTATATATTTTTTGTTCGCAATGACGTAATTTTGGGATTTCAGTTGACGGGCAGGTATAAGAAATAACGGCTATTTTAATTAATGTATTGATCGAGGTTAATTAGAGACAGTTTAAGACTCAAAAAATGAATTATCGTTCTGTTTTCTTGCTGAAACCATTCTTATAGGAGAAATATCGTCCACAAGTTTTTAGATTGCTCGTCATGTTGATGAAAAGTCGCGTGCCAAGAAATAAATAAAATATATTTCTCGTAGGTTCATAGATGATTCACAATTTTCTCAATAACGTAGCTTAAACCTTTGGCATTCATGTGACCGGAAGATTTAGAAAATCAAATCCTTATACTCCGGACCTGAGTATTTGTTAATTGATAGGCTAATTTTGACGAAGTGCTCGATATCTCCCCATTCAAACAAGAGGTTCTTTATTTGACTCACTATTTCTTTATAAATAGGTTTCTTTATATTAAGATCTAGTCTAGCCGTTGCCTGCATTCTCTTGTTTGTTCATTTATCTCGAACGAGTAATTTGCCGTATGTTTTTATTTCAAATAATAAAGTTTATTAAGGTTCGTCATCTTTTAGGTCATGCGGTTGCGCAGACATTCCTCCGCCGTGTTCGGTAATCAGGCGTTTCTCACCTGGTCACACCAATAGCGCATGATGGGCGCTACTGCATGGTTTCGTTCATGCGTAGGTTAGTAGATGCACTGTGAGCCGTGGTAGTTTCAGATCAGTCGCGGGAGAGCGCATTCCATTGAATTCTACAAAAAGTGGAGTGATAACTCCGGCTGTGTTTTTGAAGCCACACAGATAGCAGAGATTGAAGCCCATCTTATAGTTATGCCGTATGCCCCTACGCGGAAATGCACTGAATTCATTACGAAAAATGGGCATCATTTCATATACGGAAATTTCATAATTTTTCAGCTGACCGTTTTTTAAATCCGGCTGAGTCATGGCCGGTGAGAATCAGGGCAAGTGGTCTTTCAGAGTAAGCATTCTAAGTTTGATAGAAACACTTCATCATTAAAAATCAAAATTATTTGACGAGTGAAAAACATGATTATTCAGATTTCAGAAAAAAAACCGTGAAGAAAATCCAGCAAACTTTTGTTATTTTCTGGACTGTCTATGAGAGATTTGAACTAAACACAAAACTAGTAATACTGTAGTTGCACCAATCTTATATATACCTTTTCATTTAGCTTTAAGCTTTTAAGTACGGTATTTACCATTAAAAATGAGCATTTATGTGCAAAAATTGAAAAACATCGATCGGAAAACCTTAGTGATATTTAAGATCCCGCGAAGCCCACGAGAAAAACACGCGTGTTTTATACATACAAGAGATCACTCTATTGGTCGGCAGTTGGCTTCACCTAATCATAGGGCCGTTTACCTGGAGTTATTATCGTTCCAGTATATAGTTCACTGACGCAACCTCGTGCCCGGGGCTTCTGTATGAGAGGGGCTACGTCACCTTTTCATAAAACCCCAGGGAATCTAGCAGGAAAAGTACTGCACCAAGCATGCATGTTCTCGCATAATTATGTTACCATATAAAGCCTTTGTTGCCTAGCAGTAATGGTGTATGCTGCACCAAACACGCATGCATGTTCTCACGCATATCTTGGAAAACAGGAAATTAAAAATATTTAATCTAATGACTTACTCGGAAAATTACTTTAACTTAAGTGGGCATGCAGTGTATTTTGAGAGTTGCATCAACACTCTTTGTTTAAATTTTTATAAATGTCAAAATGGCACATGATTTAATAATTATATATAATTATACATTTTTATCCCTGCTTTCTGTACTCGTTGAAGACCGGAATTCGCTATATCCTCCTATATGCATCTGATCTAGGGATCAGTCGCATATAAAACACTGCCTATTTTCACCCAGGTATACGAGACAGAAGGGCAAGGGGGTGATTGCCCCCTAAAAATTTATAAAACCAAGGAAATTTGGGTGAATGCTTTATCACACAATGTGTTTAGTTCAGGTATAATAAAATATATTACAATTCTCCATAAAAATTCGTGCAAACCTTCACGGAAGGACAACTTTCTGTAAGACTAGATATCAATCCATACTGATTAAAAATGCGTTGCTACTGACTGCATAATAAGGCAGTAAGTTAAATTTAACATGATCCGATTGCGTCGATTCCAATGGATCTTGAATAATTTCCCCAGCTAACTCCTACCTGATGAGTTCTGTAAAATATTGGGGGATTTAAATAATTATGTTGGCCTACATTCATAAACATGTACCAATATGCATGTAGCTTGACCATGGATAGTCAAAAAACTGACATAAATTACAAAGATTTAAATAATTATTATTGAAAAATACGACTACTAGCTATTATATAAAAATACTATAGTGAACAAAGTTAAAATGTTATTTAAGATATGGTTTTAATATAAGTTAAGCAATTCTATTATAATAAAATGAATGCTTTCTATTTCTGTTCTCACCCGTGGTAAGTGTAATCACTACTTTGCCTAGTAACCCTGTCATGTATCTGGTGCATGATCAAATGCAAAATAATTCTTAAAATACGGTGGACAATGTCCGCCACACATTTCTTCACCAGTTATGAGTATGGTTCCATGCACTTCCTGTCCTCTAACAATGGCTATTTAAGCATTTCCATCGTCATCCCTTCTTCTTTCTTTGGTTATAATTCTTGCAGCACGCCGTTGTAATTTCTCTAATAATGTGCTGTTGCATGCTCCGCCGCAACTCCGCACCGTGGGGTATCACGAACAATGAACCTATAAAGGGAATTATCACATACTTGTATACCTTGAGTTTATCAGTGCGATTACGGGTGAAAAACGATATGTCACTGATATCTTTTTTGTCCCGCTATTTTAATAATTGTTATATTGGGGGCAATGATTAATATTGCAATAAATCCTGACCTTGATAAAGGCACAAGTATATAATAAACAGGTTATCATAATCGGGTCGAGGCGATATCAGTTCTATCGCTTTCTGGACGATATCATAAATGTCTCGTTCGCTGCGCTCACTCTTATGACATTAATGATATCGTCCCTCAAGCGATAAAAGTAAAACTAATATCGCCTCGCCCCTCATATGATAACTTATACTTATTATATATACCGTGACATATACACTGATACAATGTAGACAGGAATCATGCAGCAGCACCTCTGAAGCGCTACACATGCAGACAAGAAAATTTGCAGACAGGGGAGGGAAGCACAAAAATCATATCAGATGCATATAATAATGACGTAATTTAAAGTTTTGAAACAACACGCACAGCGGGATGGGATCTTTAACAATTTAAAATATTTTACACTGACGCACGACGTGGAAAATTACGGAATTACTGGAATATAACATCGCCTAACGACCTTGATTAACTTTCACTATATCTATAAATATAATATTTCATTGTACGAGATAACTTGTATAACTAATTCTATATATTAATTTAATTAATTCTGTGCACTTCAAATGAATCCTACTGATTTATGACATTTATGAATTAGGCCTATGTATGATATGATATGATATGATATGATATGATATGATAAAACTATATATATTTAGCAAGATATATAGCCTATACAGACTATATATTCAGCCAACGAACGACTGCTATCCATAGCCCATAGGGGCGGTGTACGTCACTGACATATTGATCAGGAAAACGTGGGAAAATAGAAAAATAAAAGCACTTAAAAAAGCAGTAAAAACTCAATCAATTTTAGTTGCTCTGTCACAACAGTGCAAAAAGTAGGACAAGCAAAAAACGCTTTCCAGCGTGAAAAACTATCGTAAACAGTATTAAATTTTACCAATATAAACACTGATGCTATATTTATACTGAACAGTTGACAAACTTGACTGAATAGGCTACAATTAACTCGTAAACAATACCTGCAGCTGTTGTATTTATTCCAAATGATGCAACAAAGTTCACTTTTCAAAATACCGAAATATAACTTTTTTTCCAAAAAAAAACTGATTGAATGTCCATATACTAATTCATTAGGAAACACTTGGCCAGTATTATATAGCCTTTTCTTGCACATATCTTGACAACTGATTGAAAACAATACAGGAATGAACAGGTAAGGGGCCATTCACAAAGGATGTCCGGCCAAATGATGGATTTTCAGACCCCCCCCTTGTCCGGCTTTGTCCGAATTAGTGACCCCCCCTCCCCCGGACATCTTCCATGCCTTGCAAAAGCTCACGCAACCTTGTATAACTTTTTTTACATTTAAAACTTTTTTATAACTGTAAATGTGAACACAAAAACATATAAATTACTAATTAAAACAAAATCTAGTGTTAACCACATAGTCAAAATGCCAATTTCACAATGGGAAGGACTGCTCAAAATAGAAGAAAAAGAAATTTGTTTTTGAATTTTTTTAAACTGTTTAGGACATCCGGATTGCCCCTATGTCCGAGTTTGTCCTGATTTTCCAAACCACCCTCCCCCCCTCGGCTCGGACATCCTTTGTGAATGGCCCCTAACAAGAAAACAAAAATTTGCTTCGAATAAGACAAACAAGCCGTCCCAGATTAAAACCGGGAAGTGAACGCGAGGTACGTCATTAGGGACCTTAAGCATTGACGACGGCAACGCGACAACGACAGCCAAAACAAATTCTTCAAATAAACTATTGCGAAGAAGAGTTGTTGTGTATTATCCACTCAGCATGTGTATATGAATTGAGTTCAATTTGATGAGACTATAAAACAAAGGTTTTATGGTTAAACACGCTTCTGCGAACAAATTTGTAGTTTCGGCTTGTCGCGTCTTGACATGTTTGCGTTGTACACGAGACGTGAAAATCTCTGGTTTGCCGTTGTAAAAAGCCCTAACACAACGTCTTAACTCCCGTGGGCTTTTAATTATTCATTTCTTTTGTACGAGATCAGGAATATCATTGTGTGAATAGCCGTCGTCGTCACGTTGCCGTCCTGTTTGCTTAAGGTCGCTAATTTCACGTCCTCTTGACGTCCGCGTCTTGTTATCTAAAACCTATAATGTTTATGAGTGCAACGGTAAAAGTATTTTCATAAGGTGAAAGAATAAGGGGATTCTCCACTTTCACCAATTTAAATTACTATAAAATAACGTTCATTTTACTCAACAGGATCGTATAACAATATTTTTAATTTTTTACACCCGCTATTTTGCTTCACACGAATTATGATTTATGTGCTTGAATTTAATCCAATTGGTCTCAATATCGAAATTATTGTTAAACGTTTATGATACAATTAAGATTTTGGCGGAGGGAATTTAATGAAAACCGAACATTACACTTTCAGTAAAATGGGAATTTTTAGTCAATATCACGTGACCATAATCAGCCAATGAAATGACCTCCAAACAGTCATTAATAATTCATAAGCTCATTGGCCGATCATGTCGACCATAATATGTAACGTGAAGAGGCTTTGTACGTGATAAAACTCATCTTCATTAGTCATTTTATATAACTTTCAAAAACTTTTGTTTTTCTGTGATCTATGGGGGGGGGGGGGTGTTTCTGGGGGGTTTCCCTAGGTTTACATAAACTTTAACTTTGATTTTCTCGACTTGCACAACGTATTTTTTGAAAATTACTTCGCCAATGAACTTACTAGATTGATCGTTTTTGAAGCAATTTAACAACATTCGCAGTGCGTGTTTTATAAGGCCTAAAGATACTCGGCTTTGCCTCGTATCTTTATATCTGGTAAAACACGCACTGCGAATGTTTTGAAATAGTGCATTAAAATGCCTACATTATCTAATGAGTGGTACCTAACATTAAGTTTTGTAAGAATTAATTACAGATTAACTAACTTTACTCTATAATTATTGGACATGTTTACGACCACAATGTCAATGGCATAACTAATAAAAAGAAAATAGTTCGTAATAACTATCCAGCTGTTCCAGCAAAATCACTTACCAACTAAACAACATTAATATTCGTCCCCTTACTCTAGCTGGCTTGACATAACAATGAACTTGGCTATAAACTACTTGCAGCAACAATTGCCATGTAAGTCGATATAGCTATATCGTATCTTAATTCTCACTCCCCTTATTGTGAGGAAGTATGTCTAGTCAAAGGTCATTTGCTACTTGAGAAACTCCCACGTATTATTTAATTAAAACGGTTGTCGTGTTATAGCTAAAGCTTTTTTATATAAATAATAGGAAGGAAGGAAGGATCTATACAATATAGGTTAGGATTATTGTTTGTATACCGCGTATCTTTGGCTGAGGTTCAATTCCTGGAATAGCAAGTTTGATTAATAATGATTATAACTTCACCTCAGTCACATAAGAGAGGCTAGAGTGACTCCAGTTTGAACTCTACCAAATACAGCTTTTCTCCCCTTACAATGACACACTACACCAACAAGCTGTAGTCTTCACACGACCTCTAGAGAGAAAAGTTGCGATTGATTGAGCTATATATATCTATTGTAGTATAAAATAAAGTTATTTTAGTTCGTGTAATCGTGCTAGTCTATTTTGATTTTCATCCATGCATGCACTTTATACCTCGTTCGAAAAGACACTACAGACAAGACAGAAAGAGTATTGCATTACTTTTGTACATGATCGGCTAATATTACTTCCACCAAGTGAAGTGCAAGAACTAGTTATTCAAGTCCACCTTATCACAACCCGCACACCCGATTACCTATATATACATGAACTTACGGTTACAGCTCAACAGCTGGCCTCTGTAGCTCAGTTGGTTAGTGCGCTGCTCCGGAATCGCAGGGCCGTAGGTTCGATTCCTACCAGAGGACCTTGTGCTGCATTTTTCGCAGTCGTTCCTGGTTAGGTCTTAAAATGTATATATTCTCACTTGGATTACAAACCCTAACATCCTAATAATGTTTTAATACACCTTGATTTAATATGATCGAATTAATACAGTAAGTGGACTCTCGCAAGTTTGCACGCACCCCCGTTCAATGATATTGTGTCAGCAATATAATACAGTAATAATACTCTCGCAAGTTTTCACCCCCCCGGTCAATGATATTGTGTCAATGATATTGTGTCATTCCTACACTAGAAATGCGGAATTAAAGTAAAAATACATTATTAACGCGTAATTTTACACAACTTGGCATGCAGTCTACATGGCATGCAGTCAATTTTGTATACACTGGATAACTTCATTCATGCATTAAATATTTAGTTCTAAATTCACATCACACAACTTTCGTTCACTACAAAATTGCTGTATTAGCTGTGTTGCATGGACGTTAGAGTAAGTTGCATGAGCTGGTATAGAGTTGTCTCTGCACGAAGCCTGTAGCGTGAGTCGTTCAAGAGCGCGCATTCCAGGGCGAGACAAAGAATTTTAATATTCATGTCTTGGTAAGGAAGTCGGAAAATAACTGCTTTCTTGGTAAAAACCCACTATGACGGCATACCTTTCTAGAGTACAAAAGCAACAAAGTAATCTTTACACAAGTATTCGCGCGTTGAACATCGAAATCTGAACATCGCAATAACAAATTTCATAAGTTTCAATCAGATTCGATTTTTAAAAGGAATATATTAGAACTTAACCTATTCTAAGGGGAAGCGAGGTCCCAGTTTCAATGGAAAGACTTTCTCCAGGGTTGACTCCTCAAGATTTCTTCGAAGTATACAAACTTCTCGTGAAAGCTGAGTTGTTGGAAAATACAACGCTGATTTCTGGAAGTGAAATTTTGGAAAGATTTTCGCACGATTTGATGATTTGTAAGTATATATTACTGAGAATAATTGCAAAACTATGTACTGAGAAATTTGTAGGAGACTAGTTTGTAGGCTTCACCGTAGGGATCTGACAATGTACAATGGTGCGCAGTGTAGCACTGCGGCAGGTTACAATTACTCGTAATAACATGTTTTCTGGGCACATACAGTGGGTACAGTACTTGTATGCCATTTAATACCTCACCATGCAATGAAAGAGTGCCGGAGCTTAACTGTCTGGACCTCCAGAGAGAAAATTTTAAAACTAATACAGCATCTATCCAGTATAAATAAAGCTGAATAGTTTAGGTTTCCTCCTGTGTTTCCCTGCATACAGTAACAATTATATGGACCTTTATAAGTTAGTCAGAATTGCTAGAGGTATCGATCAGGCAGTAACCATAAAATAAATACCCGAAAATGGAATGCGATTTAGGTTATACTCCTGTAGTCACACTGGACCAATAAATGATCACCTTTGCTGAAGACCTCTGGGAAGAACAGTTTAGAACTAAACTAAGGAAATTTAATATATTCTATCTGTAATAAATTGCAGCTCCTAGTCGTCTAGTACTCTAGTAAGGGATAATGAATCTTTATTGGACCAGTGTTACTATATATACAGGAGGAAGACATATTCTATCTGTTAGCCTATAAATTGCTCTTCCTAGAAGTCCACTAACGGCCAATGCATCTTTATTGGACCAGTGTTACTATATACAAGAGGAAGCCTTACTAATCCGACTTTATTTATATTCAATACTGGTTAGTTATATGCATGACTTCTATCACGGACACGGTTTTAAATTGCTCTCGATCCCTGCCTCATGGAGACTCTGCAGGGCCATCTTCTATATGTCCAGTATTACTGCAGAAGGAATTAGTACTTAACCTATAATCTATAAAATAAACTAACTTTATACTGCATTTATACTGTCCTATGCTGGACAGCATTATCAGTTCTATAAACCTCTCTAGAGACCATGCATGCAGCGATGGACATCTGTTATTGATCGCGAGTGTTGCTTTAACAGAAAACAATTTGGGTAATAATACATGCATATGCATGGAGAAGCTGCTAATAAAGTCAAACTGCATGGAAACTTCTTCTCAAGTGGGAAAGAGATAAAATTGCAATAGACAACTGTATCATATGCAGGAAGCAATTTAATCTTGGTTATATAGATGTGATTGATTTAGAAATAAACGACTAGATTTCACCAGCTAGACAGATATAACTTGAAATATTTTATTTTACATATAATCATTTGCTGATTTGAATCAAATTTATCCAAAGAAATGTTTTCAAGACCAACTGGTTAAGCAGTACATGCACCATTGTCAGCAAAATTAAAACTTATGAAATATAAGAACATAACATTACAACACTTGCTATATATATATATATATATATATATATATATATATATATATATATATATATATATATATATATATATATATATATATATATATATATATATATATATATATATATATATAGTACATCATAACTATTAAAAATATGCCTCTGCTTTTATACAGTATGATTCATATAATTATATAAACGCCACAATTTACGGACTAAAAATTATAGCCATCCCAATCAAAATTTTCTTATTTTCACTAGTCTTGAATGAAAGCACAGAATATCAAATGAAAGGAAACGATTCTATGTTTCCAGAAGCTTGTGTAGAATACTGCAACACCATTGTCAACAACACTCCTCAACTTATGGTAGAATTCATAGATTTAAAAGACATTTACGAGAAAGTCCAGAGTCGTGCAGGAGGCGGTTCTCATCAACGAGTCTCCTCAGGGTTAATAAATATCAAAGCCACTTCGGAAGGACAATTGTGTGGTATGAATGTGTTTGTTGAGAGAATGCCCGAGGCCGCCACATTATGTGGAGATATAAACGAAAGAATACAGTTACGTGTTAATCATGAACGTTATTTTCAAAATCAGGTATGTTCACGGATATAGCCTATAGAGGATATTACACGGCGGCGCGAACATATGACTTTTATCTCTTAGTGGTGAAAACAATATTTTACGAACGAGCGCAGCGATATGTTCTTATGCGATATGTTATTATGTTCATTAGGGAATAGGTCCATATATATGTAACTAATTATTAATAATAAAATTAATGAATTAATTAGCTAACTAATAATATACATAGAAATTTTATTCAACTGTGATTGGTAGATTTCAGTGCAGTTAATCTCAAGCGGCAGTGCGAAATTCCGTAACCACAGTGCAAAAGTCTGTAACAATCTGATTGTTGGAAAGAACAATGGCATCCAAAATTAACCAATCAGCTTAAGGGGACACTCCACCCCCAGAACAAGTGTCGCTAATAAGAAAGCTTTATATGAGCCTACCTTGGAATGAATATTTGTTAGCCTCAATTCTTTTTCGTTTGCGAGAAATTTAACTTTGTTTCACTGATTTTTGGTCATTATCGCCGCCATGTTTGTTGAATCCGCGGGTGGTCCTATGAGTGCCGTGACGTAAATGTGTAATAGAAACAAATTTCATAATCAGATTGCAGCAATGATTCGCATTTTAAATAATTTCCAACGGAAGATCATTGCTTGGTTCCAGAGTGGCACGGAAAACTGTGGGAATCAGCCACAACAGAATCCCAAAGAAAAAGGTTTGCGACGAGCGTGGCTGGCGATAAATTATTTGCAGAGTAAAACCTACGCGATTTAGATATTACATTCATCTGTTTATTCGGCGTCGGCGCATTTATGCCTGAATACTTTGCAAGAATGCTAGAATTTGTGCGTTGCTTCCAACAAAAGCCAAAGCTAAAACCAGACGCGATGGCATCTATATTTCCGCGCCATATAAGCCAAAGTCAAGAAACCCAGAAACACAGGGTGAAGAAGAAATCATATTCGCCCTGCTTGAACAAACCAGACAAAAGGTATTAACTAAGCAAGTCATGAAAGCTTTATTTCTACAATGTATATCAATGATTTTGTAGTTTTCATACTGTGGAGGAATTTACTTTATAGATATTTGTACGTTAAAAGATGATCTTGTCTAAAAGTACACACGAGTGACCACGAGTGACCACGAATGACCACGAGTGACCACGAGTGACCACGAGTGACCACGAATGACCACGAGTGACCACGAATGACCACGAGTGACCACGAATGACAACGAGTGACCACGAGTGATTTCTGTGTTTAAAAGTCCTAAAATAATAATAAAAAACTATTTTAAGGTGGCTCCATAGGGTTTTTGCATTATACTACACTTTTGTATCCAGAAAACGCCTGTTTCTTCACTTTACATGACACGAAAACGAAATTTATTGGACACATTGACAATGCTCTCCTGAACATTGCAATACGCTACTTTTGCGCAGAAAGTATGTTACCATGGCAACAGTGTGCTTAGGATAAGGCTCAAAATTTGTCTTTTTTCGGCCATTTTAAAAATCCTTTCGGGAAATTTTTTTTAGTTTTTCGACTATTGTACACGTCAGTCTACAGGAACATAGCAAAGCATCTGAAGTTGGGGGGGGGGGGTGGTCGGAGGATTTTACCTGTAATTTGAATTTTTAATTAATAAATACTTACCTAAAGTGTAATAATTATAATAAAGCTTCTTGTGATAATGACTTGCACCGTCATACTAAGTTTCGGGAGAAAACAGGGGTTTGGGGTCCTCCCCCCCCCAAAATTGTTCCATTTTTGAAGCTCTAGGACTGCAATTCTAGGACTGCAATTCTTACAAAAATGGTTATCATTTCACACAAATAATTACTTTATTACGTATATTTTACCTGAAAATATCAAAATTTGGGGGAGGGGGATTGGTTAGACGCACATCTCGCAAAAAATGCCAAAATTAAACCTAAATTTCAGCATTTTCCTTCGGTAAATTGTTTTAAAACTTTGCACATTCCTTAATACCGGCTAAACAAGCTCAAGATCCTTTTTTTCTTAAATTTTTAATTAAAGGGAATAATCTAAGAAACGTTCCATAAATTTTTTTAAAATTGAAGAAAAAAATCATTATACGAGAACTGATCTTTTTTGCAAATTTTAAAATTTTTAAAACGACCAAATTTGAGCTTAATTATCCAAAGCACGCTGCCACCATGCAACCTCGTTCCCAAGGTTTTCTTATGAGGACGAGGCGAGGCAAGAGAAAAAAAGCCCTGAGAACGAGGTTGGTCACCATGATAACGAACTTTCAGCGCAAAAGTAGTTAATTACAATGTTCAGGAGAGCATTGTTAATGTGTCGAATAAATTTCGTCTTCGTGTCATGTAAAATGAAGAAACAGGAGTTTTCTGGATACAAAAGTGTAGTATAATGCAAAAACCCTATGGAGTCACCTTAAAATAGTTTTTTATTATTATTTTATGACTTTTAAACACAGAAATCACTCGTGGTCATTCGTGGTCATTCGTGGTCATCCGTGGTCACTCGTGGTCATCCGTGGTCATCCGTGGTCACTCGTGGTCATCCGTGGTCACTCGTGGTCACTCGTGGTCACTCGTGGTCATCCGTGGTCACTCGTGGTCACTCGTGTGTACTTTTAGAGAAGACCTTAAAAGATACCAATAAAGCATTAAAACATTTAATAACGTTTTTACTAATATGTTGCGTGTCAAAATTTGCTACATATATTTACAGTGTCAAGTTACTATCAACTGTATGTAAACTGTAAAAATGCTTTTCCATGATAACTGGGAATTGCTTATGCTGTGAGTAGAAACATGTTCCTAGGCCTCAACCATGGTCCAACACTATTTTCAAAACCCTCCATGCGAAAATACTATATACAAGACTCACATAAACACCCCGATTTTATACTGTACATACATGCACTGTGTAGGCAGCAGGGAATAAAAATATACACAACATGTTATTGAAGTGTTTGTAATGCTTGATTTGTATCTTTTAACGCACAAATGTCTAGAAAGTTAATTCTGCCACAGTATGAGAACTACAAAATCATTGATATACATTGTATATAAATAAAGCTTTCATGGCTTGCTTAATTTAATACCTCTTGTCTGTCTCGTTCAAGTCGGGCCGATTTGATTTCTTCTTCGCCCTGTGTTTCTTGGTTTCTTTGACTTATGGCGCGGAATTATATAGATGCCACCGCGTCTGGTTTTAGCTTTGGCTTTTGTTGGAAGCAACGCACAAATCGTGAAGTATTCAGGCATAAACAGGGGCGTAGGAAGCGGGGGGGCACGGGGGGCACGTGCCCCCCCAAATTTTTTTAAAGGACTAAAAGTGCCCTTTTTGTGTTGAAAAGTGCCCTTTTTTGTGAGGAAAAGTGCCCCTTTTGTAGAAGCTAATGTCGCTGTAAATACTAAATTAAAACAATAGGTGCCGTTTTTGTGTGGAAATTTACAAAATTTTTTTAAAAATTAGGTCACAAACATAAATTTCGGTATGATACGACGGAAAATTTTCCTCAGGAGAAATTTCTCCCCCCCCCCGTCGACAACATTTCCGGGAAAAGTTTTTTAGGTGCCCTTTCCGATAGTAATGTGCCCCTACAAGCCGGTGCCCCCCCAAACTCCAGGTGCTTCCTACGCCCCTGGGCATAAATGCGCCGACGCCGAATAAACAGATGAATTTAATATCTAAATCGCTTAGGTTTTACTCTGCAAATAATTTCTCGCCAGCCACGCTCGTCGCAAACCTTTTTCTTTGGGATTCTGTTGTGGCTGATTCCCACAGTTTTCCGTGCCACTCTGGAACCAAGCAATGATCTTCCGTTGAAAATTATTTAAAAGAAATCTCTAAAGTCTATATAAATGCAGTATTAAACACGCGGCGAACCTGCATGGCAACACGGTCCTGCGGCAAAACCCCCCAAAAACGGGCAAGGCTTGATTGTGATTGGTGACTACCTCGGACTACCCTATTTAATCTACTGGTCAATCACAAGACTCGATCATATAGCTAGGTATTTACTGTCTGATTATGAAATTTGTTTCTATCACACTCTTACGTCACAGATGTAATAGGACCGACCGCATTCGCCCGCGATTCAACAAACATGGCGGCGATAATGGACGACAAAGACACTGAAACATAGATATATTTCTCGCTAAAGAAAAAGAATTGAGGCGAACGAATGTTCATTTCAATGTAGGCTCATATAAAGCTTTTATACTAGAAAATACATGCATGCAGAAACCCTCGCCTTGCTGACAAAACCGTTGTATTTTCCGAACAGGAAGTATCTAGAGTAGTTGTCATGGTAACACAATAATTTTTTAAGAATATTCTTACAAATGAAAATCGCTTAAAAATATCTCTTTTAATTATAAAATTATCAATTTCCCAACATATATATGTTAGGTATGTAATTATACGTAATACAAGCTTCAATTTAAGGTAAAATTCAACCACAAACAATTCACAAAACGTTTTAAAGTGTTCTTTATAAAACTAAACTGCCTTTAACTATTAAATGGCTTTATCGATAAACTTTGAGTTTGCAATAAAATGATTACAAATTCTCGCTTGCAAATAACTTTGGTCTTTTCTTTATTTTTTATTTAAAAAATTCAATATAATAAAAAAGGGAATCAATATTAAAGTTACACTGAAATTTATATATGCTGTCTTGTTTAGTTGTTTCATATACGCAAAGGCCGTCGGGTTTTAAGGCCATTATAAAATCAATATTTAAAACAAACTTACCTTCGTTAACGTCGGCTCCCTTCTTTCAGCTGATTCTTTCGCCCTTTCTTTCTTGAAATTTACAAAATCTTGCAGAAATACGAGCAAAAATGAAATATATTTGCACGAAATTTATCAATCATCAAATCAAGAAATGTTTGCTATTTCGCTGTCGTCATGCAGTCGTTATAATGCAAACTTTAAATTGGACCAATCAGTGTCCGTTATTCATGACAATCCGCCATATTTTTGAGATCAGTGAGGGTGACCACTCATCGTTGGTGACCGACGCCCGCGCTCATTGATGATCTTTAGACTTCGCTAATGCTTTCGTTTCCCCGGGTGTAAATAGCCGGGGGGAATTAGTACCCTCGCACGGCGCTTCGCGCCGCCGGCTCGGGGATAAGCGACACTTGTTCTGGGGGTGGAGTGTCCCTTTAATGCAGTCATGAAGTAATGAGGGGGCGGCAATTACGGCTTTAAAAATAATATATAGCGGCACTTGCAGAACGCAAATCGTAGACATGTTCATATGGAGGCGAGCAACCCTTTCCAACCGATTACTCTTACTTGGCAACGACAAGATCTAGGACTAGAAATTTATGTAAATTCGTTTTATAGTTTTCCGGTGATTATTTGCATGACATAACCGAGTAACCCATCTTGCCAAGAACCCGTCAGAGAGAGAACAGACAGGAAGAAATAAAAATTATTACAAGTGGATAACCAGTATATTGTATATATTACCAACGGCAAATAATAACAATCACAGCAACAGTAAACGAAACTAAAATATCACGATTATGGATATTTGGATATTCTCAGAAATCAGAATGATCAAGAATGAAGTTCTAGCTAGTAAAACCATTTTCTAGCAAAACAAATTCAGTATGATGTCACGCTCTAGTATTCAACTCCCCTACTTCTGAGAAGAGATATATCTTAGAAAGGTAGCACGCCTCCATATGAACATGCCTAAGATTTACCGTTCTGCAAGTGCGGCTATATATATATATTTATATTCAAACCTTGACTGAATTA